GTGTCTGGAGAGAGGGAAGTCTGGGCATCTTTGCTTAAACTGCTGCCCCCGCGACCCGGTCCCGGATAAGCGGAGGAAAATGGATGGATGGATTTTAAAGCTACTAAAGAATATTATGAGTTAAAATGCAAAAGTAAAAAGTCCAAAATGCTGTCCTAAAATAATGCAACATATCACACAACACTACCACTTCCTTATTTCCTCCTGTGGTGAACTACTATCCTGACAAGCGTCTCATTTGCATCAGTTCCGCCCACATTACACAGCATTAGGCACCATGACTTATAACTGCTATGAGTCACATCAGGGCTGCAATTTCAGAGATAAAAAAAAATGAGGAAGTGAGAATGAGTGACTGTCAGAGGAGTTGTCTTTGACAAGTGTGTAAAAGAAAATATGCTTCCAAAATAACACAACAGACTGGTGTATAACCCGGCTTCAAGCCAGATAGGTTCACATAGCAGTTGCTATGTCCTAAATATAGCATAACATAGCAACACAGCAATTAATTGTGCAGCACAGCTATCCTGTCAAAATTGACAAAGACATTAAATGACATAAGGTAAAAATGCAGTGTTTAACCTTGAAGTCATTAAATATTATTGCACTCAGAGGTTCACTCTCACCTGGTTCAGCTGCACACTGCAGCCTGCAAGCACGCCGTCTTGTTTTTACCCCAGGTCTACATTTTTAGCATTTATCCGAGTCAGCTTATGAGCAGATATGCAAAGTAAACATTAGACCAAAAAGAACAACCTTCTTTCATTATTAGGTGACATATTATGGAAATTGCATTCCTACTTCACCATTTAAAAACAAACATAGGAACAAAGGAACCATCCAGAAGTGAATAGTAAGACCATGTAATCGTTTATTTATTATTCTGATATCTTCATTGACAGTAAATCACTGTCAAACCTTGAGCCTGAGGTTAAAAAGTTGTTTGCTCTTGTAGTTGGCCCTATAACAACTTCATCCAGTCCTTCCTCCTACAGCTAACAGGTATGACTGAAGGCCACAAATCTAAAAGTGTAAGGGCTGTACCTGATGGGCACGACTCTGGCGCCTGCCGACTCCAGGTATTTGACATAGGATGCGGCGATATAAGAGGAGCCATGAGGAGACTGATCTCCTGGAAGGTTTTCCTGTGCCAATACACCTATGGAGAGAAGAAGTACACAATTAATGACTTTTTGTTACATGAGTAGTTTTTCTGTCTCTATGCTTTGCAGTTGATTTTTCCAGAAAAGACCACAAAGTGACCACCACACACGTCACTATACCATAAAGTTAAACCATATAATGCTTAACACCAGTTATTAATTTGCTAAAGACTGAGAATCTGTCATTTTGTGCCAAACTTCAGTGGTTTGGTTCTTAACAGTTTTTGATACTTGGTACAACACACACTGTTCAACTAGTGCTCAAAAAGATTTAAACACCAAAAAGTTTAACATCTTATCATCATAACACTGATAGAGCCTCATTGGATACTAGATCTTTTTACCAGTGTGCACAGTAGTTCATGAGATAGAAAGCGACAAGCTTCCAAATTAAACCAAACAGTTGTTGTTCAGTTGTTCCAACATACTACTGCCAAAACAGGCCAACACCTGAAGGAAGTGACTCACTAAAGCCCTTGAGGTTACAAGGCTCAGTTTCAAATCAGATGAATGATGATTGCAGCAGGTTGCTCAAGTAACAAAATGTACTGTCATAGATTCTTATCAGAGGAACACAATGCTTGGTTTAATGAGACAGCAGTTCAGGACATCTTATTCCAGCATGTGTTACTGTCTAAGTGTTGCTCTGGTGTTCAAAGCAGACTGACAGTGTCATGAACCCTGATGCACAGGATGTAGTGCCCTATAGTAAACCTTTGGAGAAATGCCCTAATTCCTATAAGACCAACACCATGGGAAAGCAAAGCACAGCTGAACCACCAACAGCCTTTCTATCCTTCAAATCATCATCATCAGCACCATCATCATCAAATGTATTCTGTGTTGGAAACAGCCTAAAGCTATTTGCAAATGTAGGCTGTGTTGAAATACACATTTGAGAATAAAACTGGGTCGGATGTGGAATATTTACCGAATGGCAGCATTAACCGACATTACAGTGATTCTGTATCTGCAACACACGCAGAGCCTTCGTCAACGTGAGAGAGACACCCAGAGAAGAAGAAGAAGAAGAAGAAGAACGTGCATTACAAAATCTACACTGACTACCGGTGTTTAAATTATGACATAACAGTAAGTACACAGAGCCGGAGGTGGACACCCCGTCTGTCCTCGCCACGCACCTTTCTCGAACATTCTTGGTGAGAATTACATAAGAGCCATGATAATCCGACCTGGACAGTCGGTTTGTGCACGGAGAGGCACAGACACAAACAGCCATTGCTGAGGCTGAATCTTACCGATGATCGGTCGGTAATTGAGCTGCTCATTTCTCCCCGCCGCGCACGGAGGCGGACCGCAGAAGAGGCAGGCGGTCAGCGCCGCGAACACCGCTACAACCGGCAGACTCATCCAACACACCGGGCAAAACACAAAAGGTGGGGTTTGTAGATCGGAGATGCTAAATGACTGTATGGGAAGACACGCACGTTTCCAAAACGGCGGCTGGATGCTCTGGGTGATGCAGTGCGACTCCCGGATGTCTCTCCTCTCTTGCTGTGCCCTCCTCCGATGTGTCTTTACCTCCGCCCGGGCATCTTTATGAAAGCGTCCGACCAATCACGCGTGGAACTCCCCTCCACAGAACCAACGTCAGCGAGAGAAGCCTCCACCTCCTCTGCTTTTTCATATTCACTTCATATACAATTTCTCTTAGAATATTCCAGCTCCACTGACTTGCACCATAGACATATTACAGATCAGTGAGGAGTCCCCCATAAACAGGCTATAGTGTAAGTCTACGTGAGATTCTGTATGAAGCGAGTTCAGCTTAGTCTGGCTCCTTTGGGGTCTGCTTCACTGAGTTAGGTTTCGGTCTTCCCATCAGTCCAGGAGCGCGTCCAGGTGAAAAAGCCGGACGTGCTGGTTAGAAGTAACATCACCGGAGCCGTAAATGAAGCAACCTCCTGCATTAAACATGACAAGCATCAGTGATGCCCGAGGGCAAATAGAACCGGAGCCCAAATGATGTTAGTGTGGCGAAGTGAGAACAAAAAACTATGGTCACAGCAGACCCTGACAGGATCCACTAGGAATGAGCTCTCAGTTTTCCAGTGATGTGACTGGTCAGTGGTCGGACTGTGGACAGGTCTTGATCAGATCTTCCACTTGGTTTGTTTTTGGCCTTGTCTCCACCCACAGAAGCAAGACCTTCTAAACCGTTTTGCTGTAAAGGTGTGCTGAAGTTAAGACAAAAGGCTCATTCTATAAATGCCTTATTGTGTTTGTTTACTTATTTGATGTTTTTTATAATCTACAAATGGTTGACATCATAAAGAAAATCTAATTTAGGCCTATGTAATTTTGAAAACTATGTCTAGTGGTTATAACTTCTTGTTCTGTTCCAGCTATTTGAACAAACACTCACCTGCAGTCACCGAGGAAAGTGTCAAAAAAATCTGGTGTTTGTTTAAGTTTGATTGAAAACATTTTTGAAGCAAACCTGTTTTTCTGCATTAGTCTGAGGTGAGTTATGAGACTCCTGAGTTACATACAGTATATCTGCAAGGGCATAGCTTTGCATATGGAATGTAGTGACATCCCTACCAGTATTTTAGGACAGAATCTCCCTGTGGATATTTAAGCAAACCTGTGTGCATTATCTTTGGAGTGAAGTCATATTAGATCAGTGTGATGTGTCCTTCCTGAGGCTACAAGATGTCATGCTGACATCTGACTGACTGAAAGGGAGGGTGCGAGCTGAAGTTTCCTGTAAATGTCATGTTTGCTCACAGACATGGAGACGATAGTCATCAGTCCACACCCCAAGTATGGGTGAAAATTTTGTCTTTCAATGACTTATTCCCTTTATTGTCTGCACACACACATTAGTCGACGCCACGTCTCGTCTTTTGTAGACAACATTATTCCACTGAAAGAACAGAGACATAAGGAGGTTTTGCACTTGTTGTGAGTCAAACAGTCAACATTAAACTGAAACTCAAACCTTTTCACCTTATTACATTGTTTCCACATTTGTGATATGATACAGTTTAATTGTAGAAAATACTGTTTATAGTCACTTTAAGATTTGAATTGAGTTGAACTGAGGGGCTCCAGGTATTTTTTGAAGTTGATACTATACTAAAGGGATATTTTGGACTCTCAACAGGTTGCTGCACAATGTTTTATTTTTCTAGGTTTAATTTGATATTGATTTGCTCTGTTGTAACTGATTTGTTGAATTAAATACATTTTTATTTTATTTTATTTGGTGGTTAGGTGGTTAGCATCATACTTGTATTTGTTTTATTATTTCCCACTGTGCCTGAGTAACCGAGCACATTTTGCCTCTGATTGGTTAGTTATTGTCAGTAACACACTGAAAACCTGTTTAGCTGGTATGACACCTGAAACTAGGGCACAGCGATCTGATCTCTGACATTTGACTGCACAGAATAGAACTGAAGTGCCTTAAACTGGTAAAGCATGAAATGTGCGTGTGCTATTGTTTGTGTGACCTGCATTTATTTTTTTGCACCTGCAGGCTAAGCGTTATAATCCATGTGCAGATGCATTTAAAAATGCCCTTTTTTGTACCATTACTGTAGCATTGTTGTATATAATGAAGGCTATGTCAATATGTGTGCATTTACATATGTCACTGTGCCAGGAGTGTGCATGTGGACTGTGTAATGTTCCTAGAAGGCTATGGCACTAAAGTGTGACACTTTTCCCCCAGTAAGACCTATGAGCAGGAGGGCCTGCACAGAGAGTATAGGGCTCACAGCCCTGTCAGTCCACCACTGGAAAGATAAAAAAAATGTGATCTTTTTGTCTTTTAGTAAACTTTAAGCCTTTCTCACATTCTTTATGGTTCCAAAAGGTTTTCTGTGAAGAAAACCTCTCATCTAGTGTCGTTCAAATCCAGCTTATCACAGCGCTGCAGCTGCTGGGAGTAGATACGCATGTAGTTTCCCTGAGGTTCCATGTAGGAAAAGTAGGAAAAGAAAAACTGTAGCACTGCTTCTTTTGCTCACACTGCATATCTGCTGTAGTTCTGCAAACTTCAGAAGTTCTGCTGACCTGTGCATTTGTCACCTAAAACTCTCTGTTTATTTGTTGTATTGTGTCAGCAGCTTGTTTCACTGGAATGTTGTATTATCTGAAATGTTCTGTTCACATCTCTGTCACATTACTGAGTGTCCCTTTGTCATCAAAATGAAATAACACTGTGTGCATGTGTGGTTTGCTGCTGAATGTTTCAGCGGTACAGCATGCACCGTCAAAGTTCTTGAGTACCATCTTGTCATTGGGAAGGAAAGACACGAAGGATTAAATGTGTGCATGTGTGGTTTGCTGCTGAATGTTTCAGCGGTACAGCATGCACCGTCAAAGTTCTTGAGTAACATCTTGTCATTGGGCAGGAAAGGCACAAAGGATTAAATGTGTGCATGTGTGGTTTGCTGCTGAATGTTTCAGCGGTACAGCATGCACCGTCAAAGTTCTTGAATAACATCTTGTCATTGGGAAGGAAAGGCACGAAGGATTAAATGTGTGCATGTGTGGTTTGCTGCTGAATGTTTCAGCGGTACAGCATGCACCGTCAAAGTTCTTGAGTAACATCTTGTCATTGGGCAGGAAAGGCACAAAGGATTAAATGTGTGCATGTGTGGTTTGCTGCTGAATGTTTCAGCGGTACAGCATGCACCGTCAAAGTTCTTGAATAACATCTTGTCATTGGGAAGGAAAGAGCACGAAGGATTAAATGTGTGCATGTGTGTGAGAAAGAGTATCCACCCATTATTTACACCGCTTACTCCTGAACAGGGTTGCTGGGGGGCTGGAGGCAATCCCAGCTGACACTGGGTGAGAGGCGGGGTCCACCCTGGACAGGTCACCAGTCTGTCACAGAGCTGACACCTAGAGACAGACAATCACTATTTAGAGTCACCAGTCAATCTACAGTAAGCTGCATGTCTTTGGATTGTGGGAGGAAGCCGGAGTACCTGTAGAGAACCCATGCAGGCACAGGGAGAACGTGCACACTCCATACAGAAAGGCCTCGGGTCGGCCGGGGCTCGAATCCGAAACATTCTTGCTGTGAACAGTCAGTGCGACAGTGCTGACCACTGCACAGCTGTTCCAACAGTAGAACAGTATATAAGTATGAAATAATGTGTATAGATTGAGCACTGTACTAAGGAGAAAGTGTTGTTGAATGTGTGGGTGTGTTAATATGATGAAGTCAGCAGTGTGTGATGCAGTCAGCCCATGGATCAGTTCCCTTATTCACAGTATTCTGCAGCAGATTTTACTGCATCTCTGCCGACACACCACAAGAGGTCTCACTCCTCCACCACACAGCCTTTCCTGTTTCGGTCAGCATCTGTGTAAGGTTGAGTGTTGTGTAGATACACTATGTGTTTATTTGCCTTTTTATTTGAAAGTGGATATTAGCATGTGGTATCCTCCACCAGCATAATTCTGATTTGGGGGTTTTAATGTCTAATGCAGTGTTCTGATATGTTAATGCTATTTTATAATATTTAAATATCATCACCCACTTATTTACCTAGATGCATCTATGTATTTGTTTGCATGTTTATTATTTGTTTGGCCCTGGTCAAAGCAGCTTAAAACAGCCAAAGTATTCCACTTTGCTCAGTGCCATGACACTGCGGTAGTACAGAATGCTGGTGCTAGATAAAAACGGATCATAACGCGATGAAAGTCATCTTTGTAGGGAATGTGTGTATGGCAGTCAATCCAATATTTGTAGAGACATTCAGCTCCACAGCACAAACATCCACCTCATGATGGTGCTGAAGGAAAAGCCTGGGGATCACCAACGTCATTAGGATACAAAGTCTTGGAATTGTGAGTGTCTGTGTAAAATGTCATGGCAATCCTTCCAAAGGGAACAGACCAACTGACTGGCTTATTCCCAGTATTTCTAATAATATCAATTAACATGGAGTTAGTTAGCGGTGATGAGAGGAGGTGAGCTCTGTCAACAAACAAGGTGGATGCTTCATCTCCATTAAAAGAAAGGGACTTTGTCTGTGTCTGTCTGTGTGTCTCTGTCTTTGCTCACTGGCTTTGTTATTGATAACTTTAACATCTCTCTGTTGCTGTGTATACTTACGTCTTTGCCTCATTCTTTTTTATATTATGGATGTCAAAGCATGTGGAAACAACAAGTATGTGGGCCTCCAGATGACATTTTGTTATGTTTGACAGCAAGGTCAAGACTGAACCTTCAAGCTCAACTGAGCAGCTCTTGTTTGTAAATTCTGTAAAGTACATGATGAGATATTGGAAATGAGCTGACTCCGTTTCCAACCCAGTGGTAAATGCAGCTCATACTGTGTGTGTGTGTGTGTGTGAAAGAGAGAGAATATGCACTACTACAAACAACTACACTATGTGGGATTGTGTATGTGTTTGCAAGTGCCATGTTTTGCTATGATTGCAGGATTTAAGCCACAGCTGAAAGCACTGATTGGAAAACGTGTATAGAAATCTGCTGTTCCGATGCCCCAGGGCGGTTTGTACTGCAGAATGCTCTCTTCACTCCACTATCACGACAAACGAAGGCAAAGAGCCCTCATCCACGATGTCACACCTGAAGCCCCACAGAGAGTGAATTAGGGAACGTGCAGTGTGACAGTGGAGCTACCTGAGGTGATTTGCTGGGTTTGGAGTTGTGCTGTAGAAGAGTTGGACAGAAAGCTGAAGCATCACTTACAGGTCAGATACTGCAGTGTACTGAGAAAAGGCCAACTTTGACTCACTTATGACGTTTCCTTGTGTCTTAGTCCCACCCATGTAAGGTGGGAGGAAAAGATGCAAGGAAAATTGAAAGGAGAGAGGAGTCAAGGAAACACGCTTGGAGAGACATGACACATCCTTCCCCTGAAGTGTCCAATCACATTTCTGATTAAAGGAGCTTTTCAGCCCAAAAAAGACTTTAGTGAAGGTCTTGTGTCTTCTCCCTCATGGCCCCTCCAGCAGCCTCCTTGCTCCTCAGAATAGAGATGGGTTTTTTATGATAAATCCCAATTTTCTTATTTTATTCCTCTTTTGTTCCAACCCTCACTTGACCCAGAGGTCGTTTCAGCTGAGTGAGGATTGAGGACATCCTAAAGCTGTTGTTCCTGCTCTGAGGAAGAGGAGGCAGCCAGAGAAGCCATGAGTGAAGATACATAAGAGCCTTCTTTGTGGACTGACAAACCCCTTTATCAGAAATCAGTTGGTGTTGGACACTTTAGATAAAATACTGAAGGAAAGGAAGGAATGATCATAATATAGATATGAGAAACACCCACAGGAGTCTTGGGATGTCCTCAGTCCTTGCTCAAACCAGAAGTAAATCTGGTCCAGCAAAAAATGAGAAGTGAAAAACAGTCATATAAGACATGATGGGATGCACCCATGAAGTTTGGTGACATACAGTAATTAGCCTATTAGCATAGCTCCACCTGGGGCGTGTCAAACCTTAGAGTCCAGTCTTCTCTTTTTGTTAACCAGATTTATGGTTCCTAAAGTCATGTTATTCCACACGGATTGTATATTCTGTATCAGCTTGTTCCAGCTTTTCACTCTAGATATTTATTTGCACTGAGCAAAATTTCAAAACTCATCACTTCATGTTCTGTGCTGCACCTTCTAAAGGAAATACTCTGGACGTGCTGGGTATCATTATACATTTTGCCAAACATACAATATTTAATCTCACTGGGGGCTTTGGGAAATTCACTATATTTAAAGAAAGAAACAGTTTTTAAAATGCTGCGGGTTTGAACAAAGCGGCACAGCAAGAATTAATGACTGGCCCACTGGGAGCTGCTGCTTGTTAAGGGTTAATGAACTTCCATGCGTGTATCTTTGGACTTATAGCTCAATGAAAGCTTAACTGTGTAGCTGTATTATGCAAATACATTCTTTTGAAAATAAACCATTTTGTTTTTCTAAGTAAATGAATTTCTGAACTGAAAATTGACTCAGAACAAAAAGGAGAAAAGAAGAGGGGCAAGGAGAGACCGAGTAAATTAAAGAAAATGAAGTACAAACAGCAGGAGACAGAGATGGAGAGACAGCACGGTGACCCAGACAAAGGCAAATATAGAGAGAAATGAATGAAGGAAGAGGTGATGAACTCTGTTAATAGAGAGAGAGAGATAGAGAAAGAGAGAGAGAGAGAGCATTGGCGCCGCAGCGGGAGCGACCGTCACACGGTCTGTCAGCGGGGTCGGTACCGGAGAGAGCAGCCGTTTACGACAGACACACCGGGGAGAAGAAGAACAGAAGGAGAAGACAAAACAGGAGGAATCGTTTGTTTGGCTGCTGTCGCCTTCGTGCCACCACCTCCACCGGACAGGGTCTACTGCCCTCATCATCTTAGACCTCTTCTCCTGTTCTTCATCACCATGCCTGGTTGGCGGAGGAACCTCACTTTCTGTCTGCAGCGGATGCCTGATGAAGGTAGGAAGGCAAAACAAATTCATCTGCGCTTGTTTGCTTTATAGCACGTGAGTATGTGTGTGTGTGCGCGCGTGTTTGCGCGCCAACATTTTTTTCTTGCTGTTTACATTGGTGCTGAAATGTGAATATTTGCTTCTGAGGACACAGAAGCTTTGTGGTTTCTGCTTCATGTGTTTGGAGTTTTCTGGATCACTGGAAGTGCACGCGGTTTTTGCGCATGTTCTTTGGGCTGATTGAGAAGCACCTGCAGTTTTGGTAATTGCGTGCCTCTGAGCGTTTGTATGTGTGTGCACTTGTGTGTGGCTTATACTATGTGTGTGTGTGTGTGTGTGTGTGTGTGTGTGTGTGCGCAGACCCTTGCTTGGTCTTTTGGAGCCGCGCGCTGTGCGCACACGTGTCACTACGGGTTTGTTCCGCCGTTTCCGCAGAGATTGCGCGAGGCTACTGACGCTGCCAGCGCGTTTGACTGTGTAAAAGATTGCGACCAGGAGAGGGAGAGAGACTGCGTTGGTCCTGCAGCATGAACAGGAGAGGAGGCAGCTTGTCTTGGTCAGCTACAGTTTGCGTGCGTGGTAGTGCGCATATGTGAATGTGCGCAGCTGAGAAAGTGTATTTCGCGTGTGACAAAAAATGGTGACGACAATGAAAAGATAGAGAGAGGGCGAAGATCTTATTGATTTGTGAGGAGAGCCGGAGTGAGATGACAAGGATTAGAAAACCTTCACACTGGCATTTTGTCTGAATCGTTGTGAGAAAACTCCTTTCATACTTAAATGATGTGCTTATCTTCACTATTTTTATGTATAGCCTATAAATCCAGAAATGTTTAAAAAAAACAAAACTAAAACAATTACTCAAAACTTATGAATCGGGCTTTAAAATCCCTGTTTGTAACAGTTACATTTTTAATAGTCTAATTTTACCTATTTTAACTTGCTTAAAGATAATGTCTTGTGTAATCAACGCCTCATTTGCATTTACTTTCTCTGTTTCTTTTCACTCTGCCAGCTTAAAGAGAGGTTTATCTGTTCAGTGAACCACCGTGAACAACAGCCTTCTTGCAACAGGAATTAATATGAGAGTGTGGCACTGTCTGAAAACTGAGTCAAACTGTACTCTAAGTAAATTCATTACATTACTGTTTGTGTACACACAACATCAGGTCAGGCTGACATGAAGCACATGGTCTGTTGGTGGACACTGTTGTCTACAGTACTTTGATTCTAGGGCTGTTATCCATGGTATGTACTCGGTCCTTTATCTACACCGCTTATTCCTGAATAGGGTCGAGAGGAGCTGGAGCCAATCCCAGCTGACACTGGGTGAGAGGCGGGGTCCACCCCAACTCCCCTTTTTCACTTCAATTTAATTCAATTTATTTGTACAACAACAATTATCTCAGGACACTTTTACATAATCACAGTTAGACCTACACTAATGTAGGAAAACCCAACAAATCCCCCTTGAGCAGCACTTGGCGACAGCGGGAAGGAAACACTTCCTTCAGACTTGTGGTGGGCGGCCTTCTGCCTCGACCAGGTGGGGTGGGTGGATAGAGGAGAGAGAAAAGAAAAGCAACAAGACACAGCAGGTTGTTATGGTGCCATAATCATAATGATCATGGCAGTGATCTTAATGCTACATTGTGTAGTACATAAGTCCTCTCTAGTCTCATAAACAAAAGTGAAGTTTGTAAAATATCTTTCTGAACCTGATGTGAAAGAACTTACCCAGAGTCTTAACCTCAAACCCATCCAACACCTCTGGGATGAATTGGAACGTCAGCCAGGCCTTACAGACCTGACTAATCCCTGCAGCCAGGTTCCAAAATCCTGTGCAGTATTTTCTCAATAGAGCGGCGGCTCTAATAGCAGCCTAGTGTATGAATGCCCATGTTTTTAAATGAGACTTTCAGCAATCACATGGATGGTCGGTTGTCCACGTACAGGTTGTGCAGTGCATATAACACTTATAATGTATGGCAACAGAGGATTATAGCATTACTGACAATCATGTGTCAGTGGTCACATGACAGTGATCGAGGCAGAGATGTTGCCTGATGTGGGAGCGACAGGTACTGCTGTCAGAAACAGTGACTTATTTCATTAGTGTTACAGAAAGTGCCACAGCACCTCATGTGCTAGGAAAACAAATACCCAGTGGGGATTAAAAATCTTCATCTTGTTAACTTAATCTGTATGTGTGCGAGAGAGAGAGAGAGGGGCACACAGTTAAGCGAGAATGGAGGTGTAGGATAGATGTAATGTTTTATGTTTGTGTTGGGTGTAAGATTTATGTGCAACTAGATGCTTTGCTCGAGACGAGTGTGTGTGTGTGTGACAGAGATGAGGTGACAGAATGTTTACGAGGTGTGTGTGAGAGAGAGCGTGACAACAAAACAGAGAGAAACGATAGACACTGAGAAGATGGTTTGAGAATGGCGTTTTCTTGTTGTGTGAGTGAGAGATACAGTGTTCAAATGAATATGCTGGATGTGCAGTGACCCTGCTGGTCAGTGATAACTGCCTTATGGACTCATGGACGGGTGTTTGAGGCCTTAATTGTACCGGTCCTTCATTTTTAAAGGGGACTCTTCACAGAATGTGCTCAGTAAAAAGCTATGTGAAGAAGGAGAGCACATCCTCTCCTTTAAGTACCCTGTGGCTGCTCTTGAGCAGGACCCTCAACCCACAGAATGTGACACAGGGTGGCCATAAAGGCCATATAATGTAAAGCATCAGTAAATCCTCCCTGAATAAATGAAATGAACTGTATCAACCTTGATAAAGAACACATAAAGCACAGCACATTACTACAAAGTAAGGGACAAAGCATGAGCTGGGGGATACCAACTTTCCAACTGTGTGAATTAACTTTTGCATTAGAAATAAAAATAAAATAAAATAAATACTAAAAGCTGTTGGTGTGTATGGAAGGGTATCAGAAACTTTCTGTTGAGCAAGTTATTTGGTTTCAAGTACATTAGAGGACATCTAAGTACTTTTATATATATTTTGTCAGGAGACAGATGACCAGTAAATCAGGGGAAAGATGCAATAATGACATTGGCCTCAACTTTAATCAGCAATGTTGTGATTCTGGGATGGCACCATCAGCTGTAAATCACCCAAAACATAAAAATGAGATGGATAAAATCTAAAAATATTGATGTAAAGGATACAGTCACTTCCTTTCTGCGTAAAGCCTTGTCCTGCCTGCGTGTGGGTGTGCGGTTAAAAGGAAGTGACCACAGCGTAATGCATTTATAAGTAGCGTTGCACCGCTGTGTAACAGTTGTAGGATCAAAACATTTAATTCCCCTGTTGAAGGACAGATTATGGATAAGCAAGCCTGGTAGTGCATATGAGTGTGTGTTTGTGTGTGCCAGAGAGAGAAGAGAGGGCAAAACTCATCCATCATGTGGTCGATGGGGGAAATTTAAGGTTACAAATAATAATGGCTACGTGATCTGCAGGAGAAATGAGGGAAAAGAAGAGGAAGCTAGAATAAGATGACAAAAATGCAAATGGAAAGTGACTGAGAGACCTGGGAAGGAAAGTCATAAGACAGAAGCAGATAAAAAAAACAAAACAGGAGAGTGTGAAAGAGAAAGATAGAAGGCCTGGTTTCGAGTCCTTATCAGTTGTAGAAGGAGATCCCATTAATCAGGAGAGCAGAACATCAAATAATGCGCTGGTTAGTGGAGAGCGAGCCTGTGATTGTATGTGTGAGTGTGTAATAAATTGTGAGTGTGTGATTGAGCTCCAACGCCAAAAGCCCCTTTTAATAGGGCTTAGTTGTGGTATCACTGGTGGTTGGGGAGAGGAGTGAGAAGACAGAGGAGGAGGTCAGAGCAGGAGACAGGCGAGGATAAGGGAGGAGGAGAGTGAAGACATGAGTCACAGGCCAGAATATGGCACCGAAGTTGCTACAGGCAACATTTAACATCGGTACACCATTAGTGTGTGTATTTATAGGCAAACTAAATGAGGCTATTAATGAGAAAATGAGCAGTGTCTACACTGAAGGAAGGCTGGAACTACAGGAACAAGGCCCAGCTTGGAATAACAACAATTTCACTTTAGCACATTCACATATATTTCACAACTAATTAATCCTTTATTTACCAGTCAATTATAGTGTTTTATACAGAAAAACCAACACTATAGAAGATATACCTGGTGTTGTATCGCTCTGCAACACCTGGTCTCTCAGATTTACTCAGGTGCTTTTAGCCAGTGTATAAAACTGATGGAAAACTGATAGGATTCATGGAGACTGTTCTTGTGACATAGGGTACATCCCAATACTCTTATATCTGTTCTGAGGAGTGAGGAGCAAGGAGGCTGCTGAAGGAGCCATGAGCGAGGACGCACCAGAGCATCCTTTGCGGAAGTCTTTTGTGGACCGATATGCCCTTTTATTGGAAATCAGTTGATGACCACATACTTTGGATGAAGGATCAGAGGAAAGGACGTCCCTTGTCTTTGTTGGAGGTTTCTCCTGTTAAAGGGAGTTTTTCCTCCCCACTGTCACCAAGTGCTTGCTCAAGGGGGATTTGTTGGGTAATAATACTTACTGTAATAATAGTGATAACAGTAAGGTCTAGACCTTACTTTGTAAAGTGTCGTGAGATGACTTTGTTGTGATTTGACATTATACAAATAAAATTTGCTTTTGATTTGATGTCTTTAAAAACGTTTCATCAATTCTTCTTACATCTTATGTGGGGGGGGACTGAGACACAAGTGTGAGAAAAGTGGATGCATATAAGAGACTTGGGATGTGCCCATTGTATGTTGAGGAGATCAGGGTGGATGGATGGGTCAACGAAACACGAGACTTTGACTGTTCAGTTCTTGTTTCAAACCAAAGGTCATTGTGGTTTCTTCTTACTTTGTTTGTGTCATAGTCATAACTGTGTGGTTATTATTGTAACCATGATGACCAGTGTCCTCCAACCATAACCAAGTAGACAAACCATGACCTTCCCCTAAACC